ATTATATAATATACTTATATAAATATATATATATATATATACACATATATATATATTATATATATATATATATATATATATATATATATATGTTAAAGTAGTTAATTTTGATGTTGAGAAATATGAGTAAGTTCTTTATATATTTATAAACGTTTATATACGTTTGTGTATATATATGTACATGTGTATGTATGTATGTATATATATATATATATATATATATATATATATATATATATATATTAATTACATTTTAATATAACCTCTGTATTTCTGTACCCCTCTGATATTTTTACACCATACTTGCCATTTCTCTTTTAACGTTTTTTTGGTTTATGTTTTTTCTGTACGCGCTGACATATTTACACTATACTTGTCTTTTTTCTTTAACGTCTCGTTGAGTTCGCTTTTGTTTTTTCGTTTCCCTTATCCTCTCCTTTCTCTCACATTATGAAACCCACAGAGTCCAAACCCAATAATCCTAAACACGGTCTTAACACCTCTTATGACCTTCGCCATAATCCATCTTTTTACTCTTTTATTAAAAAATGCTATGGATCGTACATCCTATCTGAATTTAAACAAATCGCGAAATTAAATTTGAAATTATCCACCAACATTAACAAACAAATTTTCCTGATAAGATGCAGAAAAGAAGGTATCATATCAAATTTTTACCGTCTCAATACTAAAAAATTCAACCATTTGAGCACTTCACTCAATAACAAGTTCTCTCGTTTAAGCTTACATCTCCTCTCATTAGAAATTAAAAATTGTATCCGCAACACCAATAACTTGAAACTTGCCATTAATAAAACATACTCTTGGTTGGCTTATACTGTTGAAGCGGAGATTCTTGAAAGTTTCACGGAATTTGAATCTATTCGTAATAAACATGTCTATAACAAATCAAAAAACTCTTACACTAACAAATTCAACAAACTTTTACAATCCAGAATTAATTCGTCCAAAATAACCTTAAGCGACTCACTCATCAACAAATGGCTAAAAAATCTTTCGGACGTTACGATTCCTGAGAGACTTCTTTACATCTTTGCTCTAGGTCCAAATTTTGCAATCCCGAATAACTCTCACAACCTAAATTTTATTAAAGTGCTTAGCAGTTTAGAATCAGGCCTCTACAACATAAAAGACCCTGAAATAAAAACAAATACCCGTTCAATTTTCTGCAAAAACTTTCTCTCCTTCATTAAATCTTTTAATTCAAAAAAAATCGACTGTTTAGATATTCTTAGAGATATTAAAGCCTGTAAAATTTTCTTAAAAGAAAACCCCGACATTCTAATCACTAGAGCCGACAAAGGGAACATAACAGTGATTTTAAATAAATCTTCTTATTTAGAAAAAGTCTCCGCGCTAGTTACTGACACAAAAACTTACTCCCCAGTTATCTCAGATCCTACAGAACGTATAAACCGTTCTTTTCATAAATTCATCAGCGTTTTAGTCTCAAAAAATCAAATTTCTCCAGAAATTGTGCCTAGCCTCAAAAACCTACATCCGTATAACCCCAAACTTTACGGACTACCCAAAATACATAAACCTAACGTACTTTCAGACCAATCGTTGCTGACTTGAACTCCCCGCTCTCAAAATTCTCCAAATTTCTCAACACCATACTTTCTTCAGTCACTGTTAAGTCCCCCTTTTTTGTAAAAAACTCCTTTGAATTGGTTAATAAACTCCGTGATATTGTACTTCCTGATAATTCTTTACTAGTGAGTCTAGACGTGGTATCCCTCTTCACTAACGTTCCCCTACAATTAATTTTAGACGCTATCACAGCTAGATGGGACGAAATTTCATGTCATACAACTATCTCATTACACTGGTTTCTTGAGTCAATAAAATTTATAATTTCCAACACATATTTTGAATTCAACGACCGTTTCTATTACCAAATTTTTGGCACACCTATGGGTTCTTCTATATCTCCAGCACTCGCTGAGTTATCTTTACAATATTTAGAGACCAAAGTGTTTAATTCTTGCAAATTAGATCTTCAATTCTATTACAGGTACGTAGATGACATTTTTACTTGTGTGCCAGTTAAAAACTTTGAACTTTTACTCCACAATTTCAACTCTTTCAATGAACATCTCTCATTCACTTTCGAAAAAGAACAGAACAATTCCATCAGCTTTCTTGACGTCAAAATTATAAAAACCTTAGATAACCGTATCATCACAAATTGGTACCAAAAACCGACTTGGTCGGGCAGGTATTTAAATTTTCATTCCTATCACCCATCTAGCATGAAAATAGGTACTATAATTAATTTAGTTGACCACGCCATACTTCTCTCGGACAAACAATTTTGGTCTGCTAATTTATCGTTAATCCACACAACACTTATTAATAACTCTTATCCTTCTAATCTCATAAACTCTGTCACGTACAATAGACTCAAATTTCTCAATAATAACAATAATACCTCTTCTTCTTCCACCAAAATCTCCAAAGACAATAACTTTATTGGTAATGTTTGTCTCCCGTTTATTAAAGAACTCTTTCCCATTTGGAAAAAACTGTTCCACAAGGTCGACTTAAGATTAATTTGTAACATAGACTTAACCCTTAGCTCCCTTTTTTCCAACCTCAAATCACCCACTAGTTTGGAACGCACATCAAATATTGTTTATAAATTAAAATGCAATGATTGTGATTCCATTTACATAGGTGAAACTGGACAAAATTTAATAAAACGACTAAAACAACATGATAATAACTCTAAAAACCCACGACAAAATCAAACTATGATAACAGAACATATAAAAAATTTTAAACATTCTTTTGACTTTTATAACGCTAGTATACTTTATCACGAACGGAACATTATTCAGAGAAGATTTGCTGAATCTTGTCTGATCAGCACCTCGAAATTTTGTATTAATAAACGCCATGATGCCTCCTTACTCTGTGAAAATTATCAGGTGATACTTAATAATATTTCCAAATTTGTTTCCTCTTAACCTACGTAATTCCGAACCTGTAAACCTACCCTTACGCGGTCCGATCCCGAACTTTGATTCTTAGCCTCTCACCCATACTTAGAAACACTGATTGTAAAAAACCCGCCAACTATTCCCTCAAACGGTCTCTTCAAATAATTTTTAAACACATGTTACTACAGCCTCGGGCTCTGTCACATAAACTACGTTCTCTGTGCAAAATATATTATATATTTCACAAATATTTTGCCATACTCTGTTCAACAAATTAATATATAAAAAAACAAGTTAATGTATATATGATAGTGCAAAATTGTGTTCCTAGCGCTAGCTACTGATGTAAGACCATATTTATGTAAGTTACCTTCATTGTCTATATATGTGTATGTGTCTGTATTGCATATGTATGTATGTGTATGTATATGTATATATATATATGTATGTGTGTATGTATATATATATATATATATATATGTGTGTATGTATGTATATATGTATATGTGTATGTGTATGTATGTATATATGTGTATATATACATATGTACATGTCCGTATGTATATGTTTATATATACGTATTGTTCGTATGTATATATGCATATGTGTACGTGTTTTTACATGCATATCATATATACATGTTTGTTTGTGTGTATATTTATGTATATATATTACGCTTTTGTATGTTTATATATATTTCTTTTTACTTTTCATTTCTCTTGTTTATCTATCTGTTAAGTATAATTGTTATTGCTATAATTATATTACTTATATCTATAGTTCTTTTTCCAATTTCTGTCATTTTTTCCTAGATTATATTAATTTTTCAATATTCATTCTGTAGATCCACTGATGATGACATAAAATACTATGTCGAAACGTTTGGAAAAATTAAAGATTAACTTCTAAATCTTTGCCTTTTATTTGATGTATGCCCTTGAAGAACTTACTCATATATATATATATATATATATATATATGCAACTAGTGTAATATTGTTATTTAGCAGTAAATTGGTTATAAATAATTTTATTTTATATTATTAAATTATTGACTGTCCAAACTGTATTAGTAAATTTGTTTATTAAAGTAATATTCAAACAATAATGAATTTATATTTTAATGAATTTTATTTTTGAAAATATATTCATAGTTCTCATTTTTCAAATGCATATTTCTTGAATTTCAGCCGAAATAATTTTATTTCATATTTTTGAGGTCACAGGGAATGTACCTTGAAAATTTCAGCATCTCGAATTTTTCAAAAAAAAAAGAAATGCTATATTTTCATTTTTTTAAGATTTAGTTTTCAGCATCTAGGGCTATTGAAATGCAATTTTTCTCGTTGGAATGGAATCGTAGTAAATTTTATCTAGTTTTTCCCTATCTAACTGAAAGGGGGTGCTTTCATATAATATTTGTGAGTAATTTGACAAAATAGATATCTTTAAATATTTGATAAAAACAATCAAATCAGCTATTTGCATCTTAAAAATAAGATTTTCCATATACGAATCTTTAGAAATCGCACAGTTCATTTTTAATTCTTCGTTAATGTTAATAAAATTAAATTGAAGTAAATTATATGTCTCCGAAACGGCTGGATCTGTCTTGAGTAAAAACTTATCATCGCGGCTTTTTAGCGATAGGAATCGAATGTTTTTTCAATCATTGTATTGAAACATACACACACACACAAATGCATTCATTTTTTCTAAGGTATGCCAAAATGTTCAGTAACCTCTGAAAAGTAAAGACATGCAATAAAAAAAATTGTGGTTACTATAACTTACCCTACGGGAAGTTAATTATTACTACAATACCTTCAGTCTGGTTTCCCAGTGAATAAACAAGGAATATGTAGTAAATACCTGAAATAAATATTAAACAAATAATCTTAAACGCAAAATACTATTCTTATAAGTTTATTTTCTCATTAAAAAATAAATATTACATCCTTTTCATCCAGAGAGATTCGAAACAAATTCGAATACGTCAAACAGATAAAATATATATTTTCTGCACAAACAATATATATTCTTAAATGCACTTCTTTTAACCATAACTAGAAAAAAGTAGAATATCTCTACTACACTATATAGACGTCCATAAAAAAATATGAATCCTTTAACAGTATAAATCTAAAATTTTAAAATTGAATCGAAAATTATTAATTCTCTATATACATACTCAAATGATAATATCTAAGTCAGTTTCTAATCGCTTTCTTCTTTCGGTTTTTTGTCTTTTTTCTTCTTTTTCTTCTTTTCTACTGGTGCCTCCTGAAATGATAAAATAAATATTAGAAATGATACAAAAAATGCAAATTTGGTATTGAAAGGTTATTTACCGTGGTCTCTTCTTCAGCAGCCGCTTCTTCTGCTGCTGGTTCGGTGGAAGGGTCTTCATCACGCTTCTTCTTCTTCTTTTTTTTCTTTTCTGATGTCGAAACATCCATTGCTTCACCACTTCCCGATGCATCACCAGAACTTAACTTACGCTGAAAGAAAAACAAAACTAGGTGTAAGATTCCTAAATAATCCAGGAATTAATTATAATTATATAATTATTAATATATATATATATATATATATATATATATATATATTCTAATTATTATTTTCATATGACTTATTATTAAAATACTTAACTAGCTGTAAGTGGAATTCTGTCTTAAGGCAATTAAGGCATCGTGCCTTAAGGCAAATTGCTGGAACTTCCCGTACCAAAAATTATTATTTTTTTTAAAAACGATTAACATTTTTGAAAAAAAAAATACTTCGAAAAAATAAGATTTTTGAGAAACTATAAATTTGACAAAAAATTACTTTTTTTTGAAAAAAAAAAATTATTTAAATTTTTTTTTTTTTAATCTTTTTTTTTGAAAAAAAAAATGTTTTCTTTATTTTGACATATGTTGGAAGATCAACTTTTTTTCAAAACAATCTGCTTTAAATGCATAGAGACAAAATATAAAGCGCGTAAGCGCCGCGTCGCTGTCTAACGGGTAAACATTGGTACGGAACCCATAGGAATGTTAACAAAATGTATACTTATTGTTAAAATCTCTATAATTTGATGTGCATATGTCTAATGATCATTTTTGACCGCCAAATGGCTTTTTTTTTACTTTTTTATTAGATCTCCGAAACCGCTAGACCTGCCTTTATGAAAATTTGATCGGTTCTTCACCTTGTCAATACAAGTAAAATGTTTTTTGAAATATTAAAATCGGACGCTCCGTTCTCGTAAAAACTGAGTTACTGTTTTCGGCACTTTTTGCCCCGTATCTTCGGAACGCCTAGACCTGCCTTTGTCAAAAACTAATCAGCACGTCTCCTTACCAATACGGATCGAATGTTTTTTAAATTATTCAAATTGCTTCATCCGTGTTCCCGAAATCGTCGACGAAAATTTGTATCCGCACACACACACACACACACATACATCCATTTTTTCTAAGGTATGCCAAAATATTCAGAAACCTCTGAAACGTAAAGATATATTCGATTTTTTTGCGATTACTATAACTTACCCTACGGGAAGTTAATAAATAAATAAATAAAGAACACTTACTTTCTTTGTAGGTTCTTCAGACCCGTTAGTAGCTGATTGAGAAGCCTCTTGTTCATCCCCCGGTTCTTTCTTAATACTGCAAAAATAAACCACACAAATTAATACACAATCCATTATTACCTTTATCAATTTCCTTACCTGTAATCTACGTATCCAGTAAGCCATTCCTTTGGTGTGTTTTCATTTGGCTTGCCGTGTTTGTCTAGTTTGCCTGCGGCTATCAAAGACTTCTTTTGTGATGCCTTAGGTCCTAAGCCCCATTTTCTGGGATATGTATCTCGCTCCATTATCACACGTTTTAATTTAGCACAGACTCCATGGTCACATGACATCATTGTTGCTGTGGTCATTAGAGCGATCGCTGGAGAAAAAAATTTAATAAACAAGAGTTTTTATTAAATTTGGTAAACAAAATACTTATTTTGTAAAAATACTTATAATGAAGAAACACTTATGAATTTGTTAAATAAAATATTTTAATTGTAATTATAAATTAACTAAACATAAACTTAATACTTAAATATTTCCAAAAATATTTATAAATTAAAAATTAAATGAATGAAAATGAATTATTAAAATAATAAAGTCTTAAATAATGGAAATAAATATAATACTTATAAAAATAATTATAAATTAACTAAAAGTAATGCAAAATAAAAATAAAGAATAAATTAATTAAAAATAAATAAATAGTTAATTAAATAATAAATACTTGTAAAACAACTTTTTGAATAATAAAATAATAGATAAATTACTTATAAGAATTACTATAAATTAACTGAAAAATAAAAAATATAGAATAAATTAATTAATTTATTCTTCTTAAAAAACTAATTTGTTGAATAATAATGAATAAAATTAAAATTAATGAAATTTCAAATAAATTATAAATAAAAAAGTTAGTATAGATTAATCAAATAATGAATAAATAAAAAATAAATAGTGAATGGATGGGTAATAATTAAAGTAATAAATAATGAACAAATAAGTAACAAATTTATAATAAAAATAGCTAAATTACTCATGATAATAATTCTAAATGAACCAAAAATAAATCACTATTAAATAAATTTATTAATAAATAATATTTACATTAATTAAAAGTGAAAAAAAATGAATGAATAAGAAATTAGTTAAGTAATAAATAAAAACAAATAATTAAGTGAAAATAAATTAAAAAAATATTTGAAAAAATTATTTTAATAATGAAAAAATAAATAATAAACAAATTAATAAATTATGAATGAAATAATTATATGAAAAATAGATGAATAAATAAATTAAAGCAAATAAATTGAGGAATTAAAATAATAAATTAAAGAAATAATGAATTAATTAAAATAATGAATAATAAGTATTTGATTAAATAATTAACTAATTGAATAACATATAAATAAATAGATGAATTAATGAATAAGTATTAAATTAATTTCCTAATTAAATAAATAATTAAAAAATATTAATGATTAATAAAAATGAATATATATAAATAATTAAAATAAAAATAATGCAATAATCAATAAATTATTTATTTAAATAAATGAATTAATAATGATAATAAAAAAATGAATTTTAAAAATTAATTGAATAATTAATTAATTAAATAAAAAATATAAATAATAAAAAACGAAATATATAAATAATTACATAAATAAATAATTCAAGAATTAATTCTTTGAACAAATGAATTAAATAATGATGAATAATAATATTAAATTAATTAAATAATGAT